CCTCGTAGCGCTTGGCCTGCAAGTTCTTAACCATACGAGTGGCCCTTCTTTAGACCCTCTTCAGGTTATCCACATCCCTCTTGAAGTGTGGCACCCAAAACTGCAGGCAGTATTCCAACTGTGGTCTGACCAGTGCCCGATAGAGGGGAAGTATCACCTCCTTGGTTCTGATAAAGCGCAGTTAGCTTTTCTGATGACTGCGTCACACTGACGACTCATGTTCATCTTGGAATCCACTAGGACTCCTCGATCCCTTTCTGCTTCTGTGCTACCGAGCAGGTCATTTCCTCGGCAGTAGGTGTGCTGGACATTTTTCCTCCCTAGGTGCAGCACTTTGCATTTCTCCTTGTTAAGTTGCATTCTATTGTTTTCTGCCCATTTGTCCAACCTGTCCAGGTCTGTCTGCAGTTGTTCCCTGCCCTCCAGTGTGTCAACTTCTCCCCACAGTTTTGTATCATCCACAAACTTGGACAGAGTACACTTCATTCCTTCGTTCAGGTCACTGATGAAGACATTGAAGAGTAGAGGTCCAAGGACCGAGCCCTGAGGGATCCCACTGCCCCGATGGAGAATCAGGTGGAGATTTTCTGAGGTTACCCCTAGATATGGGAGAGCAAGAGAGAATTTGTGTGCCAACTCTGCCTAGGGATGATTTAGAAGCAGTATAGAACTGTTACGTTTTTTCAGAGATAAGGTGATTGTCTTTAATTTATATAATCACATTATTTCTTTAATACTTTTTAATGCAATAAAACACTTTTAATTGAGATGTATCATTATATCTAGGTGTATTAGCCGGTGTTGTGGAAAGTATGGGGAAAAATGTATGCTGTTTCTGTATCTAGTTCTGTATCTAGTTATATCAATTCTGTTTAAAAAAGGCACTTAAAATAACTTCCTCAAATCTTAAGGAATCTTAAATCTTATATGTTAATTTATAATTTTATTATTTCCTGCTTCTCCAGCATATGGCTAAAACTGTATGGGTCATGTTGTAAAATAGTAAAACAGATGATTAAACTAGTCATCTATTCTTAATATAAAAAGGTTATTCTTAATATAAAAAGGTTTATAATGTCAAATTTCTATAGCACAAAATGACTATTTTGGGATAGATCTTTTAAAAACAAAATGTAGAAAGGGAATAGGTGCCATGAGTAGTATTTTTTTTCCTTCAAATTAATATCTGTCTTTAGTTTATTGGGAAGTATAGTGAACATATTGATGTCTAGTGGGAGCCTGGATGTCTGATTACAAAATCAACCAAGGCAATGCTGTGCAGAAGAGAGAAGCTTTCTTTGCAACACATCATAAGTACAAACTTTTGGTTGTGAGAAGTTGTCTTAGCAAGACAAAGTGTATGCAAATTTATAAAAAAATATAACTTACTGTTTAGGCTTCAGGTGTCTAAAATTGCAATATCATCATCATGGTCTTTTCAGTTAACGGTAGGAACAGTCCACCATGACAACTACTTCATTAAATGGCATTAAATCAAAAGTAATTATAAGAAGGCAAAGTTTACATATTTTTAGTGGACAGAATGTAATGAACACTTTTTCCCCCTCCCCCGATTTAAAATATAAAGGGCTAAAGTGGAATTATAAAGAGGTAATTTGGTTTGAACTTTGTGATAATTTCTGTGTTAATTTTTTACCAATAGGATTCCTCACAGATATTTTATATAAGTCTATTCCATTTTAGTGCTTGTTGTGGTTTTTGTGAAGGGTGGATTTGATTTAAATCACTGGGCAGGAAGCCTTGATTTAATCATTGTTGTCTATAAAAAGTGCATTCTTGTGGTTTGATATCCTTTATTTGTTTAACCTCTTGAAACTTTGCACTTTTAGAGATAGGTAAGGGCTTGACTGTGTGTACACAAACTTGCAGAGAGACAATAGGCTGGTGGGTAGGTAATCAAGTCTGTTATCTCATCTCCAGACAGTGATGTTAACAAGGATGTTATCTCTGGAGCCAACAAACTCTCCCTATGCCTGAAGACTGGTGTTTGTGCTCAAAAGCTTGCGCATTTTTTCCCCAACTATTTATTTGGTCTAATAATAATAATATTTATATCGCATCTACTCAAAGCATCTTGTCTGCCTGTGATCTCTGGAGACATAAATCCACAGTTTGAGCACTGAAACTTAAGCATCACAGAGATGCTTAATGGGCTCTTCTAGACTGAGCCCTGAGTCCCATTGGGTAGGGTGGTTTTCTTTAATCTTTACTAAACTATAGGGGAATCCCTGGGAACCCCATGAGATTGGGCCCCTAATATAGTCCATGGCCTGTTATGACCTATTTATAAAACTTCTAAAAAAGGTTACATGTATATATTTTTTTCAAATATACTATATAATGAAAAATTATAATCCCTATTCCATGATGATATCTTTGCGCTTTAACATACCTTAATTTAAAACCATCTTTATATATTTCTTTTTGTAAAAAGCATCTTAACAAAAAATAAAAAATACAATAAAATAAAAACTCTGATTTAAGTAAATCTGAGTTTTTTATTTTTTTAAATAATTGATTTTTATCCACCCTGTTTTTGTGTTAAGCTGAAGTTGTTCACTTCCATAGATGGTCCTACTTATCTGCCATGCTTTGGGATTTTGTGCCATATACCAGACTGTTCTGACTAGCATCTGAGGGCAGGGGATGAAATTTCATTTTGGTAATGTGAAGAAGGAATTAAATACTGCAGTGGGTAGGTGGAAGGACTGGAAGAGGCTGGGGGGGCTGGAAAGCAGCTAAGATGGGCAGCAAAAGAGGCCTGAATTTGTAGGAGGAAGGGTGTAAGTGGATTTGGGTCATGGTGGGACCTAAGCAGGAGGTTGTGGACTTTAGGGAATTTGATTACTAGAAAGAGCAGGTTTTAAACTTGCTCCTCTTTTGTGTAACCATCCACAAATCTTGATGTAGTAGTAGATAGGGTCATTTTATGATTACTTTCACGTGCTTTTGAATACATCCCTGAAAGTTTGTTACCCCCCTCAAATGATCTTTACAGAGCATTATGTAGTACAGAAGCGAGGGAGGTATAATTGGGTCTTGAAAAATCATCTGGCCAACAATAAATACTGTATTTCTCCTTCAACTGAAGGGACTTGTTTATCAGAGTCTATGGAGTCATCTGATCTATTTTAAAAATTATACTTCTTGCCCTTATGAAGCCAAACTGTGCATTCCAAATATGAAGTTAATATAGGGTTGTAGACCAGAATGAGAATTTATTCCTTGGTAGTTTCTGTACAAACATATAAAAAAAAGGCTGTCTGCCCAGAAGGGTTTGAAGTCCAATTTATGCAAGACTCCTATAAAGAAACCCCTCCCCATCCAAGGGTTGGAATGGATGAGGAAGGACCAGACCATTTTCAAAGAGACTTTTATAGTCTTGGAATATCAAGGCTGTGTAGCTCAATAGATGGTTTTTTTTTTTTTTAATGGAACTATGCCTGCTTATTTTACATAAGGATTTGGCCTCTGTGCACAACTTAATGATTTCAAGTAAAGCTCTGTATCTGTAATTTATTAATAATAGAAGACAAAAATCCCCTATAGGCCAGCAGCCATTAAAATTATCAAGTCTCTGCTGCTAATCTGGCCATCTGGTACCTTGTGCTAGGTCTCTTCAGAGACTGAAGCTGGTACCACAAGTTGCAAACTACATTTTAAGTGAAATTGGATGATGGATAAAAGTGTAGATCAACTAGCCAGGATTTTAATGAATCCAGTTTTTACTGTACCATATGATTGACAAATAGAAAACCCATTGCCTACAGTTAAGAAGTCAGTTATGGGGGAAAAAGGTGTTCTGAGTAAGTTCAGTGATTTGACCTCAACGGTATGGAATAGTTTTTAATTATTCCTCTTTTCAAAATTTATTCTAAATGCATGGTGGTATATAGCACAGGTTTGCCAAAGGTAGTATCAGACTACTAGCAAATTGTCTGTCAAGAATGATGAGGAGAGGAAGGGGGTGGTAAGCGGGGGTGGAGCCCTGCCACTCACCACCCTGCACTACTGCCGCCCCCTGGGGGGAAAGCTTACACCATGCTGCTGCCACTCTGCATCCGGCTGCACGCCACCCCCCGCCCAGCTCCACATCCAACAGACTAAGCCCGTTGTGTATATATAGGCTGCAGTAGTGCAGAGAGACCCGGTGGTTACAGTGGATTATAAACAGAAAATGAGTCAACAGCATACTCCAAGGAACAATGGTTACACACTGACAGAGAGCAGATTTAGGCTAGATATCAGGAAGAACTTCTTCACAGCAAGGGTCGCCAAAATTTGGAATGGGCTTCCAAGGGCGGTGGTGCTCTTTTCTACCTTATCTGTGAGGTCCCTTCCGACCTTAGCGTCTATGAATCTTGTTGCCAAAAAAGCCAAGGGTATACTGGGTTGTGTTAACAGGAGTGTTGCTTCCAAATCGATAGAAGCGATCCTTCTGTTCTATTCAGAGCTAGTGAGCCTCACTTGGAGTACTGGGCCCAGTTTTGGGACCATGCTTCAAGAAGGATCTTGGGCTGGTTTGAAGAGAATTCTGTACGGTGTGACAAATTATTTTTGGCTTGGGAAGCATGACTTGGGTTCTTTAGTCTGGAGAGAAGACTGGCGAATATTTGATAAGTTTTCAAATACTTGATGAATAATTTATAGAAAGAATGGAGATTAGTTTTATCTCTGTGGCCGTAGGAGACAGGACAAAGAGAAATAGTTTCAAACTGTAGCAGAGGAAATTTGAGGTGGCAGATAAGGAAGACCTTTTCTGATTATTAGGGTGGCCAAGCATTGGAACAGACTACCTAAAGAAGTTGTGGCATCTCTTATCTCTGGAAGTTTTCAAGAGCAGGTTGGATAGGTTTTGACTGGGTTAGTTCAGTTGTGTGTTCGTGCCCTGCTTTCCTACAATCCTTATTTATATCTATTAGTAAATATTCATTAACAATATCTTATTTTCTTCTCATGAAATGCTTTTTCTTTAACAGAGGAGTTACGAAAGTTGAGTTGGTCTGGAATTCCCAAACAAGTTCGTCCAATCACATGGAAGCTCCTCTCAGTAAGTGTTTTGCTTATGTGTAGCAATAATAGCTTTCTTTAATTCAAGTAAAATTATTCATAATGACTAATAGTTCAGCACTGGTATTCCAAAGTACTGTGTTCTCTGCTATTAAAGCTCAATAACAAGTTAATCCTGTTCTTCGTTCTATTTCAAGCTTAGTTTATCACATGTAAAAGAAAAATTGGGAATAAGTACTTTAAAATGAAGACATGGTTTTCCTTATTAATGTTGGCATTAAAAACTGTATTAGTGCCCTTCAAGAAGAGAAATTTCTTTCAATTGCAAGAATGTCTGATAGCAACATTTTAACTAGAAAGTTTGTCATTTGTAAATATTTGTGTTTTTTTAACTATTGTCTGTTTTTGTATGCTATGGGGGAAAAAGTTAAAAAGCCACTTGACTGAAAGAAACCAAATTGCTTATATTGTGCATACTCTAGAGAATGTGGAAGAGACTTTATCAGCAAATCTTCCTGCATTTAAGTACTGTTTAATATTCTGAACTACGCACACAACAGTTTAGCACTATTGAATTTTTCAGAGAGAAAGCTTAGACAGCTTTCCTTTTTTAGAATGAATCAACAGGGAATACTAAGTGTTTACTTCAGATTGGGCCTGATTTCCAGTGTTTGGAAGAGTATGTCTCTTATTAATGAGTCCTAATAAATAGCAGCTTGGTGCTTTCTAATCTTAAAATGCAGATGCAGCTTTTTATTGTGAGTATTTAGGTATTCTCTTGCAATTAAAATGAAGCATGTGTTATTTTTTTTTCAGTTTTTAAAAATTTCAGTTTGATCTTTGATGTAAACTTTTTTTTTTTTTACTTTTGAGGACATGACTGCATTGAGGCACTCAGGAAAGCTGGTTTGAATTAAGTAAATTTTGAATTTCATCTGAATTTAGATCTTTGTGTGAATACTCTAATTCAGAACTAAAGTGCCTTACTTTGCTCCTAACTGAATTTCCTTGGAGTATGCTGAAGTATGCTAAGGTGACTTTTGTTCCGATTGAGTATCTACAAAGGGATATAATGCTTTTTAAATTCACACCTTCAGTTAATGTATCTTAACTTTCCTGGTAACTTTTTTTGACACAAAGAAAGTCCTAAAGGACTTGTAAAACTTCTCTATCTCACTGACCGTGCAAATTAAGACCAATTTCTTTTGGAACATCTCTTGTACTTGGCTTCCTCCTCTTGTATTAAGTTTTTGGGTGCTGGGAACTTTTAAAAACTATTTGTTGACTTCTAATAGCAAGGTAAAATTTGCTTGGGTTCCATTTCTTTGAATAGATGTTAAAGAGGTGGTTTTGAAGATGGCCAGACTTATTTTCATTGGGGGAGGGGTAGAATTTTAGCATTCATGCCGAGGCTGTTTTTTTGGGGCTGGAGTAGGACTTTTTGGCATCCATGTCAGTAGGCTATCCCAGGTAGTAACTGGGCTGAAGAACGGCATGTACAGGACCTAATGTTTTGCATCTGCCTAGATGTTGGGGCTCTGACTATCAGGGATGTTGTCAAGAAACTCTGTCATTCTTAGACCTACTACCTTGTAGAGGTGCAGATTTCTGTCTTCCATTGCCCTAGGTGGGATGATGGATCGGTTAGGCTGTTTCCCCAGAGACCTGAATCCAGTGGGTCTCTTCAAGAACTCTGGGAGAAATTTCCATGGACTTTGATGGTTACTTTGGCCTGCTTGATCTATGGAATATCATACTGACCTTGATCATAGACGTGGTGGCACTCAGGCATCCATTTCCACTGCTGCAGCAGCACAGGTTCCCCTGGTGTATGGAGCTGTAGTAGGATAACTGCAGCTGAAGTAGGCACCTGGAGTGCTACTCAACCTGTGCTGAAACCAACCAGTTGCAGTATAGGTTTTTTTTTCTCCTGTTTTTTTAAGGACTATGATGTGTCACTGGCATAGAAGCTTTTTTCCACTGGTATTACAGCTACAAAGTGTTGTCTAGCACAACTGTTTTAAGTGGTGAATGGCCTGTTAATTCAGCTCATCTGCCTGGAAATGGAGTGTTCTTCAGTCGGCTGAAGCAAGAAGAACTTTATCTGAGAGTGCTGAAGGAGCTGGCCGAAGTCATCGTGAAACTCCTGGTGGAGCTCTTCCAAAACCTGTGGTGCTCTGAGGAGGTCACTGAGGACTGAAAGAAGGGCCAATTTTGTGCCCGTCTTCAAGAGGAGGAGGAGGGAGGACCCGGGTAACTATAGACCAATTAACCTAACTTCTATTCTAGGGAAAATCTTGGAAAAATTCATTAAGGAGCCTATATGAGAGAGGCTTGCAGAAGGTAGGATTCTGAACGACAGCTAGCATGGCTTCATTGCCGGCAGGCCTTGTCTTATTGACTTCGTCTCCTTTTATGATCAGGTGACTCATCACCTGGATAAGAGACAGGAGGTTGACATTATATACCTTGACTTCCAAAAAGCTTTCAGTCTGGTATTCCACGATGTTCTCGTGAGAAAATTGGAAGACTGTGGGCTTAACTGTGAGACAGGTGGGTAGGAAACTGGCTGCGGGGCAAGACTCAGAAAGTTCTGATGAACAGATGTGTGTCATCTTGGCAGGAAGTGGCCAGTTGTGTCCTGCAGGTGTTGGTGCTTGGTCAAGTGCTGCTATTCAACATCTTTATCAGTGATTTGGATGTGGGCATGATGAGCTCACTGGCCGAGTTCGTGGATGACACCAAGCTATGGGAAAGTGTGGTCATGCTTGAAGATAGAATGCACATACAGGCGGATCTAGACAGGCTTGCAAGTTGGGCAGACTGGAACCAGATTAAGCTCAATGTCGAGAAATGTAAAGTGCTCCACCTGGGGATGAACCATCCCCTGCACACCTACAGGCGTGGCAACGCCAACCTGATCAGCACTGCGAATGAAAGGGACATGGGGGTAATAATTAACCACAGTTTGAACCTGAGCCAGCAGTGCGATGCTGTAGCCAGCAGGGCCAACAATCCCCTGGCATTCATTCATCAATGTATCTCCAGCAAAACCAAGGAAGTGATTCTCCCACTCTACTCAGCATTGATGAGACTACAGCTGGAGTACTGTGTGCAGTTCTAGAGACCACACTTTAACAAGGATGTGGTAAAGCTTGAGAGTGTACAGAGAAGTGCCACCCATACGATCAGAGACACGCGCAGCAAGCCAAGTGAGGAAAGACTGAGGGATCTTCAGCCTGAAAAAGAGAAGGCTGATAGGGGACTTGGTAGCAGCTTACTGCTACATCAGAGACATACATCAAGGGCTTGGTGAACAACGGTTCACCAGGGCACCCTCGGGGGGAAAACTAGGAGTAATGGTCACAAACTCCTGGAAAACTGTTTCAGGCTCAACATTAGTAAAAACTGCTTCACAACTAGGGTGTTCAGACCGTGGAATAAATTTCCTCTAGAGGTGGTGCAGTCGCCTACCCTGGAAATCTTCAAGAGGAGACTGGACATGCACCTTGCTGGGGTCACCTGACTCCAGTTGTCTTTCCTGTTTGGTGCAGGGGGCTGGATGCGATGAGCTTCCAAAGTGCCTTTCAGCCTATGTTCTATGAATCTATAAGCAAGGGAATATTTACAAAGGAAAGTCAAGTGTAGGACTGGATTGAGGATGATGATGATTTTCTTCTGGAATTACCTGAAGTCCTATACATCCTGTGCAGAAGGTGTATATGCTAAAATGCAAATTATAATTGAACAATTGGGAGACTTACGTAGTGAGAGGTTTATCAATATTAACATCTCCTTTGATCAAAAGTTTTGAACAGGGAAAATGTTCAGGGACTGACAATTAGGTCAAATATAAACAATTAAAAACACCTCACAATCTGTTCATAAAATTTAATAAAGAAGTTAAGCCTAGTGCATAAGTAGGATAAACAGCAAGCAGAACTATTAAGGCACTGTTCTCTTGGAATGATGATAAAAGTAAAATATATAATGCTTCAGTCTTTTGGAAAGAAATAAATGAATAAAGCAATTTGAAATTCTGACCAATCTGTGGCATTATGATATGTTGCAAGACTTTCCAACTTGTAAATGAACAGGAAATAAGACCTGTCCTGTTTGAAAGATTACTTCAGTCTTCAAGACTGAATAAAACTATTGTTGAGAAAATCCCTGTGATGACTACATTTGGTCTCACAAATAAATTATTTTCTGATAGGACTAATGTATCCTAAAAATAAATATCAATTGTTTGAAAATAAATGGTGATATTAACATTTCACTTGATATCAAGCATTAGGACAGACTGTTAATTTCAGACTCTGACTCTTGAAGCAAACCTTAAATTGATGCAATTGGAAATACCTGGAAGAAGTTTTCAGACATTCTGGTAAAATAGTATGTTGGAGGTATGAAAGATCTGGAGAAAATTTAATACATATTTCAGTGGCTTGCTGAAGTGGGAAAATTTGTGGTTTGTGGACATTTTAGTTTTTTGGTTTTGTTGATTGTGAGGAGCAGAGCATTCACTTTATTATAAAATAAGGTAACAGTGTGAAGCAAAATAGAATTTAATACTGTAATATCTTGACTAGGGTGAAAATGGCTTTGGGATGGGGATGAAAATATGTGGTTGAGATCAAAGGAATATCTTCTTTACTTTTGTGGTTTAATTTGTTACCTCCTACAAAGAGTAAAGTCCCATACTAGAAAGCTACGTAGTAATTTTTAGCAGGAAAATGAAGCATAAATATTAGTAATTTAAAAAAAAACCCAATAGGTTATCCAGCTTACAGTACATTTAGAATTGAACCATAACAGTTAATTTAATAGTAAGATGCATAGCATCTTATTAGTTACACTTTGTTCTGGCTTAATCCGTTAACTGATTTTGCTATGGCAATCTTTTATGTTGTGGTGGTTAAAGGATGATCTGTGGTTTGCATGATTAATACTTCCTATCTCTTTTAATAACTCTTATTTGGTAGTAAATATTAAAGTAGTCATTTGTTTGGAAGAAAGATCTTAGCAGTAAATGGCAGGGAACACAGTATTCAATTTATAATTTTATTTCTCTGTGTTGAGGAGTGATGTGGTTATTCTGCTATGATTTTTATGCATTGTTCCTCAGTGTGTTAGAAAATATCTCTTTGCACAGGCATCTTTACTGAAGTAATGTTTATAAAGTCTGTTTTTTTTTTAAATTTATATAAAATATGAATTTGATGTGAATGAACCCTGGCTTTTTGTAGCCTAATGGAATATTAGTGTTGCTTGTTTGAATTCAAACTGCGTAATTAGACTACTTGTACCAAATCATTCATTATTCATTTTATACATATGCTGAATATTCAAGAAGCAATTCCATTAGCTAATTATCTCTTAATGGCCTTGAGGAATTTTTTTTGTTAAGATTAATAAATAACTGGATGTTTTATCTTGCACTTTTTATATACAATAGTATGTGTTTACATACCACAATTAAATGGAGACCTGAAGAAGTTTTGAGTGAGGAGTAGCAATACACTCTACAAAAAAGGGAACAATGTTGCTATGAGTAGTTACCTTGTAGAAGAATGGCATGCCTCTCTTTCAAAGAGATTTGCTTTGGCATGTGGAGTTGAATTTTTTAAAGTAGTACAAACACCATGTCTCTTGGGGTTAATAAAAAAATGTCATAACCAGGGATTTGGGTTTGCTGATTGCCACAGAAAAATGCTGATTTTCTTCTTTATAGGAGAAAAACACAGGAAACCGCAGGTCTCCCCATGCAGGCTGGCAAAGTTCCACTCCCAACCCACAGTCCCCCATCCTTCTCCCCCAGCTTTATATAGAGTGGCATTTCATTTTAATCACTGAAAAACATGGATTGTGGGTTGTTTTAATCGGAGATATTTTGGGGTTATTGTAAGAATTTTGGATTTTTAAACTGAGAAAACTAGGATCCCTGGTCATAAGAAGGCTGCAGGCTGGATCCCTGGTCATAACCTTGGCTACAAGGGTCTGACTTCCCTGCAAGGCATGTCAAACTACTGAGGTCCCATACTTTGCGGTAACCCTTTTTGCCAACATTTACAAAATTTTAAAGGAGGATCAGTTTAAAAAGAAAAAAAATATTACTATTTATCAATAGTGCTGGAAGCCCAAAAACAGGTATTGCCAATCTGCTCTTTATAATAATACATTTTAATGACAGATGCTTTTGAGAGAATATAAACAGCCTAAAATTTTTGGTTTTTAAATACTTCAGTAACATCTCTAGAATGCTTTGAATTCTCATTCCATTCAATGAATAGTTTAATTGCAAGGGCAGATGATGATGTTTATTTGTTCTATTTCAAGTTGAGGAACAGAGATAGTGTACATCTTGTGAAGTTAAATGAAATAACGGAATAAAATAAGGGTCACATGGAAATCCTAGAATTAACCAGCTCCTATAGCATTACAGTATCCTGGATTTATTTATTTGGTGGTTTTCTTTTTGAAAGAAGAACTTCTTTCTTCATTTTTTATGAGAAACTATATTTTCTTTGGTGGAAAATGCATCTAAAAAGATCTTTTCCAAAACTGTTCTTTGCGTTCAGATGAACTACTCAAGAACTGACTTACTGAAGGATTCTTTCTGAGGATTATTAGCTTCTTTGGATACTGTACAATTCCACTGCAGAATTGTAATGTATTAGCTTTACTATAATATGTAATGCAAAAACTAACTGTTCTTTTCAAAGGCCAGTCAGTAGTTCTGGTATCATGTAATATAATGCCCTGGTCCTCTTGTCACATAGCCATCCAAAATATCAGTCATAGCAAGACACAAATCACCACACTAAATGCTATATGAGTAAGGGCTAAATGGAAGAAACCACTAGTCCCAGCACTTGGGATTGATTTGGAATGGATTTGAGGTTTGGGGGTAGAGATGAGTAGAGGATACTAGAATTTGTATTGTGCCGAGTTCTGGGGAGGAAGGGTAAATTATTGTGTAGAGATGAGAAAATATGGATGCTTGCATCAGTGAAGGCATTGGGGAGTGATTGGGCACTGGGGGGAGGGGAAAGACTTCTGTGGACATTAATTTGGGCTGTGGGAGTGCTGTTGGTAGGAGATTGGTATGATCTTTGTATAGATTTTGAGTCATTGGATAAGTTTTTGAATGCTGGTTCTTCATTAATGAGTCCAACTTAATCTTGTTTTTTAGTGTTTCAGAATAACAGAGTCCAACATCTTAAACCAAATAGGTCCAATATCTTAAGAACAACTTACTGTATTTATCTGAAGTCAAGACTACTTGAGTTTTTAAAATGACCTCACAATAATTGGATTTGTAGAAAATTACAAATTTGCTATAATTTTTCATGTATAGAATATAATTATTGTAGGGCTGACTTTTAAATTAATTGCCCCCACTGCTGTGGTGGGGAAAGTAGTAGCAAGATGAGGCAAGTGGCTGGAAAAGCAATGCCAGGGAGGGGCAGGTGTTGGGGAGGTAAGAGGCAGACTGATCCCAGCCCCTTGCTTCCGTGTTGGTGCTTCATGTCCCTCCCCTGTCACTTGCCTCTTGGGGGAGGAGAGTGACTGCCCCCCCCAGTCACTTTCCTCCCTCCTGCCTCCACCCAGTTCCCAGACCATCCACCACAACTGCTGCTGATTCCAGGTGGCAGCACCAGTTTACAGCCCAAGGGAGGCGGTGACTTTGGCTCAGGTCAGGGTCAGGGCTGGAGCTCCAGCAGTCACCTTCTCCAAGCTAGTACTCAAATCCAAAATAAGGCCTTTTCTTTCCTGCATTGAATAGCTTTCAATAAATATGGGGGGAAGCAACCTGTTTTTGTTTTTAATAATTATATTTGAAAAGATTTTATAGGGTCCAATATAAAATTTATAAAACTATTAATTGTTCAAAACTTTTTTCAGGGTTACCTTCCTGCAAATGTGGATAGAAGAGAAGGCACTTTACAGAGAAAAAGGAAAGAGTATTTTGCTTTTGTTCAACAATATTATGACTCAAGAAATGATGAAAATCACCAGGACACATACAGACAGGTAAGCAGTTATTGAAATGAACTTATGTGAAATCTTTATTTAAAAACTTCTCTGAAAAGAAATGTCTTTGGTGTGCTTCAGTTTTTTTTGTATTTATTACTACTTCAAAATGAAGCAAAATATTTTGATAATGGAACTAGTCTCAAGTTTCAGCAAAGGAAATTTAGGTGTCATAGTTTCTAGGGTTTCATAGTTTCATAGTTTCTAGGGTCAGAAGGGACCTGAGCAGATCATCTAGTCTGACCCCCTGCCATGGCAGGAAAGAGTACTGGGGTCAAACGACCCCAGCAAGGTGTTCATCTAACCTCCTCTTAAAAATCCCCAGGGTAGGAGCCTGCACCACCTCTCTTGGAAGCTGGTTCCAGACCCTAGCCACCCTGACTGTGAAATAGCACCTCCTGATGTCTAACCTAAACCTACCCTCTGCCAGCTTGTGACCGTTGTTCCTGGTCACTCCTGGCAGTGCTCGGGGGAACAGTGACTCCCTCAATGCCTGCTGATCCCCCCTGACTAGTTTATAACAGGCCACAAGATCCCCCCTCAGCCTTCTCTTTTGGAGGCTGAACAGGTTCAGGTCCCGTAGCCTCTCCTC